ATTAATGTGACATGTTTTTTTTCTAATAAACGCATGGGTTAGAGTGGGTTATTCCTCTTATACCATGAACAATCCCCAGCATTGAAAAATACAAATAATGAAAAATACAAATACAATACTGTTGTCTGTTATATTGCCTTAGCCACTGTTTATCACAGTTAACAGTTGTGCTCTCAAATTAATAATCCTGTATAATAATGCTTTTCATTTAATATTGTTTTTAGCATGAGACAACTGCTTTCAAGCTTGGTCTCTTACTCTATATGACTATAACAACAACAAGAATCCCCCAGCCAGCTGGTGCCTAACTGTCTAAAGTTTGCATCTGTGACCCTCTAAAGGATAAGCAGGTATAACTGGATAGATGGATGGATGGATATATGAATGAAAAACTGATCTTTTAAATTTGATTATACAGCATTTTGTTGGCCATGATATTAGCATGTCGTACATTACATTCATGGACGTATAACTAGTCGGGTATTATCTTTCACATAATACACACCACCATGATATATGGTAACTAAAACAAGGCATATTTATTAAATGTCATTAATAACCCTTAACCCTAACCCTAATGTCTAACCCATTATAATGGTGTTCCAGTGGATAAGTTTGGGACACAAATCTTATCAACTACTGTTTTAACTTATTTAAATCCATCTCTTTGTTACAAAAGTGGATTTTACAGTTGAAATCAAGGTAGGATTACAACTTTCACCTGGACCATGGTTTTATAAAAGGACTGTTTCTTACGCTTTTGACATTTTCTTTCTTATATTTAACTATTTGGACTAATGTTCATATATTGTAAACTTTAAATACTGGTTATTAAGCCTGCAGGCTAAAAACTCTCTTGACTATATGTGAAGAATTTACACAAACATTTCAAATTTAAACACATGTCAACCATTACTAAAACATTAAAACCTCTAAAACCCTCTCTTCTTTCCAATATTTCCTAGAGCTGAACCTCATCCTAGTAAAAAACCATGTGTCTGACAAGCCAGTTGGCTTCGTCACTAAACCTTCAAGTTCTCTCCTTTGTTTCCTCTTTTTCTCTCCCTTGCAGGGTATTAGATCGGTCCAGAGGCCTGGGAGCACTTAAATTGAACACAGGGACAAAAAGGAAAGAGGAAGACTGCAATGAACGAGCTATTACATGGAACAGGGAGGGAGTGATAGATGTGAAATGGAAAGAAAGATGAAAAAGAATGGAGAAAGAGAGGAAAAGAGCTGAAAATTAAAGGATGAGAGACGCCCTACATTCCAGCAGCTCCGGAGTCTCCAACAGACTCCTGGTGACAGATTACCTCGCTCCGCCTAAGAACAACTAACACCCGTCTGTATGTATGCATCTGGCCAACGCCAACTGAGAAAACAAACTAATTAATTCACAGGCTGTACGCGAAAACAAACAGAACCCTCTGCTCTGAGAACTAATGCAATCTGATCAAAATAGGACGCTGACGTGTGCATTGATGTTCTCAAGTGCCCCCCTGCCTTTGGCGAGACAAAGTGAATATTGTATTAGACAGAGTGTGTGTGTCTAAAGTCAGTGTGTGTTGCACACAAATGGACACAGAATTCAAATGAATAAATGAAGCAGGCAGACTGAAGAGAGAGGAAGACAAATGAAAGACGTACAGAGACAAAAGGCACAGAGAGATGCATGATGGGAGGTTGGTATAGATGCTTGGCAGAGGGCTGGGAGTCCAGCCAAACACACACACACACATCACATACATCGACGCCTCAATGTCACCTCGTAAGACACACACACACCAACACACACACTTTTCTCTCACACACTTTAAAAATGATGAACTAGGATTTTCACTACAACATATTATTGTTAGATAAATACAGCATCCCTCAGTGAAGATTATAAGGAAGAGAAAATTAAAACTAATTATCAAAAAGGATTGATTTGCTAATTTGCTAAATTGTCAAAAGTTGGTGGAAGAGTTGATTTTTCAGACATCTAGGTTACATATTAGACTTGTTTCAACAGCATTTAATGAGTGTATTCTGAGTAATTAGGACCTAGTTCACACTGACATAAGGTTGTTTAAACAGATTCACTCTTTAACTACATTTTAGCCCAGTGATTTTTACCTGCAAATCACTAAATCAGTGCTGTCTGGGATGTCTGAAGTTAACATAAAAAAGGAGAAGAGAGGAGAAGAGAACTTAAATAGCTTGGAGGTAAAAATGACCTCCTCCTGCTTGAACTTCTACCCACTAATTGATTGAAATGAGATAATGACAGCTTTTCCTGTCGCTAAATTACCTCTACATCCTCCTGGGAATACAAACACCCTCTGGGGTTCTCCGGGTTATAATGAGAGAGGGGTTGATAGAGGAAGAGACACACAAACAGAGTGGATAGACAGAACACTGAGGAGTGAGAAATTAGACCCCAGAGTGAAAAGATGAGACACAGCGACGTATGGAAAGATTTACCGTTGAGATTCAAACAAGCAAAAGAGAGACTTCAGAGTCAAAGGGAAATTATGTAAAAGGGTTAAACTGTGAGGTCAAATGTGAGGTCATCTAGACAGGAAGCAAGAAACTGGTTGGTTACTAATGAGAATCTTATAGGCTGAGTTTCTTCCCACACTCCTCATAATGCTTGAAAGTCAATGAGAGTTGAGTGTTTTTCGATGGCAAGTAATGGAGAAAAACTGGTTTTATATGGTGCTGTTTATTGCTGCACCAAAGTGAAAATGGATCTATGTAATACTTTGAAGGAAGGGCTCTACATGAGTAAAACACAATGACTCAATCTTGGGCACTGCTATTTTCCACTTCTGGTGTTTGCCCAGGGCATGGCTTTGATTGCTGAGTAACAGAACTTCCCTCCACTCTGCATCTTCTCCTCAATTGTGGTGCAGGATTTTCTAGATGCTATCTCTTAAAGACTAAAAATATAATTCAGTAAAGTCAATGTTTTAATTTTATTAAATCCTGACAAATATCCAATGACTTTTCTGAAATAAAGTGCCGTAATGAAGATTAACTCTCAAGATATTATGCAGTTACAAAACATCAAATTCGGATGGAGAAATACCAAGTGTCTCATGTTTATTCAATTGACTTTGTTGGATGTAATAAAAATGTAACTGCAATGATGTTAATTGCTTTACATCTCACACACAAGAGGAAGATGACGGGGTCAAACAAAGTAAAAGGGTTAATTCCCATGACAGCATCAATATGCTCAGGAAATTTCATGGCAATCTACCCATTATGAGATATCTTTTGTTTATATTTCAGCCTAAGGGTGCAAGAAAAGCTCATAGAGTGTTAAAAAACATTTCATCTTCTAGGGAGCATGCATGATCTCAGAAAATGTCAGAAATGATTTGTCCATTAGATTCTGATATTGTCTTGAGCACAAGGGGAAGTTTTTACCTGATAGGCGTCACTAGAGGAAAGGTCAGGGGTCACCAGAAACATTAGGGTTCATCCTATGCAGGACCATCTATATCAGCATGGCTGGTAGTTTTTAAGATATGATGTTAAGGACAGATACAAGGACAATACCTAATAACCCATATAATTTCCATTCTTACGCCCCACTACTAACAAGGCAAACATATAGGCCTATTAAGAGAGTATAGAGCAGCAGCCATATTCTACGAATTACTATATGTAGAAAGTACAATCACCTAAAGTATGTATGTGCATCTGCATTCTCCTCTGTTTGTAGACTCAATATGTATTTGAAAAAACCCTTTGCAGTAGTTCTCCTCACTTCTTTATCAGTCTCTCTCTCTCTCTCTCTCTCTCTCTCTCTCTCTCTCACACTCACTCTGTGGAGTATTTCCAGTCCAGCCAACAGGAAGACCAGTAAGCTCAGATGGTGACTTTTCTCCTGAAAACATGGAGCTGAACAGGAGGAAATCCTGTGTGATATCTATCGCTGATGATGATTGCAGACCCACTCCAGCCAGAGTGAAGCGAAACAATGAGCATGGTTTGGCCACAACACAGTCAACAGCACTTAAACACACACACACACACACACACACACATACACACACACCAGGTCCTTTACTGCCTTATTATCATTAAAACTGAGTGAGTCACAGCCAACAACAGGGCTTAGATCAGAGGGGGGAGAGGAGGAGAGTGGGCTTTGTGTGTGAACTCGCCAAAAAGATACTGTATAAGGCAATGTTTCAGTTTGGTAAGATGTTACATTTAATTTCAACATTCAGCATGTGCGTAGCAAAAATCATATGATCATAAAGCAATAAAATCATATAAACATTCCGGGTGAGAACAGAAGGAACTGCTTGTTTAAAGGGTGAAAGGTTATTATCAAGGTCTGGACAGAACCCCGTGTAACAGACAAAATGACCGTCCATATTAATGAATGAATACGAGCAATACTATATATATATGAGATTTGTGGTAGCCTACTTTATAATGAGTCTTTGAGACCTATAATGAGATAATGCTATAACCATACGATAATTAGACATCTAACATCCTTCCTGGGTATTTCGTTGCGGTTGCCGTACCTCGTAAACTTTTATAATGAGACGATCGCACCCCGGTGGATCCCACCGCAGAGAGATGAACCTCAGCCAAAATCTCCTCTGGCTGGACACCCCGCCTGCGCTGCAGAGCGGTTCCAACCTGGAAACCACCAAATTAACGAATGCGTGCCTCCTAAAACACATAAACCCGCAAAACGGTAGCCAAAACATCGACCCGGATTTAACGCTCGGAGCTCGGACCACCGCGAAGGGAATATGTTTATTTTGTTGTTGAGAAAAATAAAGAAAAAGTTTAGTTTACAGCAGGGAAATGCACAGGATTACTAAGATAAATGATTTAGAAAAGACTCCAATCACCAAGATCACCAATTAATGCCACCTGTAGGGCATGCGCGAGAGAAAAAGATGATAGAGAGCATGTGCGTAAACATAGATAGATAGATAGATAGATAGATAGATAGATAGATAGATAGATAGATGAGCCCTTACCTTTGTATGGCAGTCTCAGCCGCGGTACATTTAACTTGGTCGCTGAGACGGTGGCGACAAATAGCGCCACAAGAATCATGTTGAAGAAAGGTGTAAATCCCTTCATTCTGCCGAGGAGATGTCCTCTGGCTTTTAACTGATAATTTAAAAATGTGTTGCCAAATATCATACAGAATATTCCAGGGTAATTTAGAGGGGGGGAATGATGGATCCCTCTTCGCACGAAGCCAACATTTGCGTTTTCAGGTAGCTCGGTGCGTAAAAGGGTCTTTGACCGAGCAGCCGGGTGTCCTCTGCGCGAAGTGACTGCCGCTCTGCCCGGGCAGATGAGGTGATTCACTGACTCCGCTCCACAGCCTGACGCTCCTTCGGTTTACTTCCAACAGCTGCCAACAGAAGTCTGTTTAAGCCAGAGAGAGAGAGAGAGAGAGAGAGAGAGAGAGAGAGAGAGAGAGAGAGACTCCACGCCTTTACAGCAGAAAGGGAGCAGTAGCGCTCCAAGTGACCTGCCCCTCCTTTACGCACAACAGATTTTCTCTGAACCAGGCGCACTTAGAGGCATGCTCTTACACATGATTCATACTACCATCTCAACATCAAGTAAAGTGCATTCAGGAGCGTAGCTTTGAAAAACTTTAACAGAGGATACAACGGAAAGGTAACATTTTATTTTAAACCCCTCATTACTAAGCAGCATTTAAACATATAATAAATATTATTGTAACACATTATAATGCGTTTATATGCAGATAGAAGGACACCTAGCACCTACATCATTAACATTTTGACCACTGACACAAGTTACAAAAACATGTATCTTTGTATTTTGGGTGAATTAGCCAAGTTGTAGGCATAGACCCATACAAGCAAAACTTGCCACAAGCGGACTTTTTCAAGGTAAAGAGAATCTCTAGTATTTATGGGCTATACATGAATGCAATAGCACAGACAAAATAAACAAAAGAAAACATGCATCTTCATCGCTTAATTTCTTTCTCCTGCTGAACCCTGTGCATATTTGCCCTTTCTTAACCCCTTTTGCGCCAATTGGATGTGTTCAGTAGTTTAATTAAGTTGTAGGGTACCTTCTCAACACCCCCTCCCCTGTGCGTCTATTCACAAGCAAGCCTACATGTGAACGCAGGGGTCACGGCAGGATGAGGGAGAGCCATTGAAGGTGTCAGTGTTACTGCAACCCCGGGTCTTTGGGGAACACTTGTTTGTACCAGGAAAGAGGCTCCCGTACATGTTTCATGTAGACTGAGAGGCAGAAAGTGGGGAGACACAAGTGCTAAAGGAATGCTGGGTGCTTGAGATGACAGCGTGTCTTGTAGCTGTGTTGAGGGTTTGTTTGTGTCAGGGAAGGGGCTCCTGTGTGCACCTGAAGTTCTCATTTCATGGAGGAACTTATATTTCTCATGTCCTGATAGACCAGTGGAGTGACACAAAGAGTTAATCTTGTGCTCACAACAGGATTGGTTTGATTCCTCTTCTTAGCTTTTACCACTCCATTGCAAGGCCCAGTTAGTGGATATCCTTGGATGAATATGTTTGAATAGGTTTTTACTGTAATTAAATATATTTTTGGTGCATAATTAGTTTCTTGGAGATTCCCAACCAAGTAAAGACGGCGTCCTTTTCAAACTAGATATCAAATGTCTTATTAATGGATATATTCTGGCTATATCTTAGATAAGGCATGTGCCAACAAAACCTCAAATATGCAATTGTAAATGTATGTTTCCACTAAAGAATAACAGAGATATCTGATCATTCAGAAATGTTTTTGTAATGTGGTCCGTCGTAATTTTCTTATAATCCTCTAGAAAGGGCCTTCAAAATGCTACATTAAATATTTAAAACATTAATATTTCACTGAGAAAATAATCAAAATATCTTTGTATAATTACTGTAGACAAATGGGACCACAGCGCTGACAATGAGTAGCCTCCCTCTCATTCCAGTGGTATCGTGCTTCTTGAAATTAAGATCGTGTTTCGAGTAAACACTGATGCTTACTGATGAAATAAAGATGTTGCTACTTGTCCTTGTCTTCAGGCACATGTTTTTTGTATCTTTTAGAGGACAAACATGTTTGAAAGGATTTTTCCATCTGCCATTCTCTGGTTTCATTGTGTTCCATTGCCAGAGAGTCAGAAATATGATCTCTTTACAAAAATCTGATATAGTGAATGTAAACTGCTGTGTGTAGGCCACTGGAGTAGTTTGTCACTGTTAATGTGTCATTCATTTAATGCTACACCATGTGTAAATTATTACAAGATGAATGGGGGTGTTTATGAATCAAAATGAATAATCCTTATAATGCTTGAAAATGAAGTTCATTTATTTCAAACACTGTAGCCTTCAAGTTTAAATATATGACATCACATAACAAATGTTATCTTTGTTGCATTTATTCTATTTACATGTTGATTATACGTTCACCAAACCAAGTGCGGCTTAAAACACATTAATCAAAAGTACTGTTGTAACACTAAAATCACAATTAGTGTTTTTTTCTCAGTAATTTGAACCATGGGATCATTTTCCAAAAACAAGAAAGCTTTACAAATTAAGTGTCCAATTATAATTTATACAAGTAATAACAGTGAATTGACATTGGTTATTCTAAAAAGTTCCAAAGGATTTCATTAAAAGCGAACAACCCCCCAAACTATTTCACAAGATGACCACCTGTGACTGAAGTTGCCCTGATTGGTGTTTTTGTTGGAGTGAAGTGCTCTCAGCCCTCAGTGGCTCATGATTGGACAACACTTGTCCGAATGCAAAATCCTTTTGAAGGACAAACAGACGTGGGAAAGCAGCACAAGAGACCACAGGCAGTGTGTGTGTTCAAGAGCTGAATTAATTAATCTGTAAAAACACCAGCCATCTTATCGTCCTTATGAATGAATGTTCTCTGCATTGTACTGGTAACTGGAAATGACCTGAGAGAAGAAATGCCTCTTTAACCACAAGAGTGTAAGAGGAACATGAGGAGCTGGGCTGATTACACAAAATGAATTTGCTCCGTTTTACTCCTTTCTCTAACTAAATTCCTCAATGTCATTACCAATCACAGACAACACTCATATGGGTTTCAAACATGGTCCTTGCTCTTAAAAATCCCACATAGGATCATTTTATGTCTGTGTCTCACCATCCAAACTCTTGAACACTGTAATTCACTCTGAAAGGAGCGCAGTGCTTCTCAGAATTCCCTCTGTTTAAGAATTGTGGCCAATTGTCTGATTGAATTGTACTGTCTGAGTGAAGGACCGTCTTTGCGCTCACAAGATACTCCTGGGGTTGCATTATGCTCTTCAAGTTGTCAGTGCAGATGAAACGTAAGACCACTTACCAGCATCTTGACATTGCGTCACTTTGACAAATCAGACTGCTGCTCCTTGAGTGGTGATTGGGAATGGCAGGGCAGAAGTTCATGAATTCACAATGTGGGAGGTGAAGGGCAGAAATAGCGGATGGAGAACCATTTTGTGGCAAAAGGCAAGGAGACAGCTGGTGTTTGTGTATGTGCCTGAGGGTTCATAAATGTTTCATCTTTCTTGGCAACAGGAGTAGAAACCCAGATAATGGAGTTGACATGAGTGGAGACACAGTTAAGGACAAAGTGAATAAGGAAAGATAGAATAAGTGAAGAGAGAGCACTTTGCTACAAAAAATCATAGAATGAGATTGTAGCACAATAAAGTATCAACAGTAAGTGTTAGCTTGGTCATTTTCAGAAGCCACACAATAAGTAGGCAGGGGAGGACAAAATACACTCTGACTAGGTGGTTGTGGCTATTTACTGGCAGCAGTATGAACCACCCAGTCATTTATTTATTCATCATGTTAGAAGGCCACTACATTACATCAAATGGACAACTCTGAGATTCCAGATGTAACAGTTTTGACACTTTTCAATGGAGTATAATATATTAGTATAACAATATTTATTACCTGCAAAAACTCCCAAAGCAGAATTTATATCAAGCCTAGACTTTTTACTGAAGAGCATCCACTGTGGCTAAAAGTAAACCTGACTGTGCCTGATGGTTTGTTGGAAACTGTTTGGAAAAGGACAGGCACACTTTCAAAAAAACTGTTGCCAGGTGGTTGGATGAACAGTCTGTCTATCACCATCTATCTTCTACCAATCAGATCAACGAACCATATGATGTAGACAAACTCTTCTCAGTTGGGAGAAATGCGAGAAAAGCCTTAAGTGTTGTTGTTCTTTCAATGATGAAATACTCTCCAGTTCTGATATAACTGATGCAAGCAGCATCTACACTAACATATTTAATAGCCACCATTGTCATTGTTGAGCTAAAGGTTAGCTAAAAGTGGTAATTATGAGAATCCCAGTTTCTCTTTTTGCTGGTTATTGTTTACACATTTTTCACAGCAGACATTGTGATGTATAATAGTAGGAAAATACTTACTAATAACATTAACAATGGTTTTGTTCAACCATCAAGTGTCCCAGTAACAATATATATTATATGATTTCTGGACGTATGCTATATTTTATCTCAAATAAAGGCCACATATTGTTTGGTCCTTCTTCACGTTCCACTCAAATGTTTTTTTCAAATAGCCAGCTGACTTGGAACAAGCTGCATGCAACCTTTGCATAAGGAGCAATTCAGCAAGAATGAACAGCAAACACACAGCGCTTTCAATTGAAAAAAATAAATCAATTGAGATGCTTCTGCAACAGCTGCTGCCTCTGTGAGCAGGGGAATTTACTGACCCAGTTTTGACAGAGCCAAATACGTTTACAGTCTTAGACTGTGTGCTGGTATTTCTATGGTTTTTGTTTGTTTGTGATTTGTTTTTAAGCATTTTCTTTTATTTCTGAAATGCAGTTTAGCTCACAGTCTTGAGCCAAGCATATGTGATGATAATGATATCTTTAAACATCAATCACTTGTGTTTTGTTTTATTATTGTCATAATTTCATTTGGCCCAGATCATAGCTGGAAAACGTAATCCTGAAATTATGTTGTCTTTAAGAGAGCCAGCTAGCAAGCTATTGGACAGCTATTTGGATGTGATGGAATAGGGAGACTAACAAGCCAACAATGATTCCTTTTTTAAACATTACACCAGAGTTTATGTTACCAGTGCACATATATGTAGGTAAAGTTACACACCAGAAGGACTCATGACCTCCATCACTTTCCTCCATGGATTATTTGGCTTTTTTCAGAAACTTTATATGCTGTTAGGGATGGGTCATAAAATTGAAGAAATCCCACCACAAATACAGCTGTAATAATTCTCTCCTCCATCTTCCAAGTTGAGGAAATAGAATAAGAAGTCATAACTTTATTCCAGGAAGAACTGACAACTGCCTAAATGCTCAGTGCGCTGCAGTTTTCACCACCACCATAATTTACACAACAGTAAACTTGAACTCTTTAGCCACA